CAACGACAGCATCTCCTTGCGAAGGTAGGCTGCGGGTAGACTGATGCCGGCAAAGAGGACTTGAACACCTATGACGAGGCGAGTGAATTGGTAGGTGATCTCATTGGTGCGTTCAGCACTGCTCGACCAAGAATAAGGGTCGAACCAGTTGAGTACATAAGGTCCGACGATGATACTAAGAGCATCAAGGGAGGGCCGAGGGGCAAAGCGGACGTTCAGCTATGCTTCAACAAGCTTTGAGAAGACTACTAGTCTGACTCACCCGACAGTGGTCGCTACGAGCGCCTCGCTTAGGTACAGCTTTTCCTTGACCACATAGCTTCCTAGACCATAAATGACGATGAACCCACCAAGCACAGCGAAAGCGATCGACACATTGGAGACGTCCGTCTCCACTACATGAACCGCCATCTCGTGTTCGTCGTGGCGCTCAACAACGTCTCAGTCCTTTGCTCGCGGGAGAGCAGAGCCTCGAGCAAAATGTCCTTCTAATACACAGAGCTGATGAAGAGCTCTGTAGAGACTCGTGTTATTCGAGGCCGATGCCGAGCTGCAGGTACTGGGCAGCAGCGAGAGAAGGCTGAGACGCTGAACGAGCGACGCAGAACACCATGGGGCAGCTGTGAGCGGCAAAGATCTGCGGTGTATGTGCTCGCAGAGGGGCCTGACGGAGTAGCGGCTTGTGTGAGGATGAAGCGCGAAGTAGGCGGTGGTGTACGGATCGTGGTCAGGTGATGGGTGGGTGAGTTTCAAATGTTGTACGCGAGTCCATGTGTGAGAGATGCTGCTTACGCATCATCTCGCAAGGAGCTCGCGATGGTGCATACAGTAGCCTCGCAAAAAGCAAGGCTGCATGCATGCTCGCCGCACGCGAAGCTTGGCAATCAAAGCCGCATCCGAATTGAATGTTTTGAGGCCAAAACTACACTCTGACTCACGACTTGACTCTACCGCTGAAAGTCACGATTCACGTGATTCCCTCTGCGATCTCGCCTGGAGCTCAAAGCAGCTGCGAGCTTCAAACGGTGGCAGCTTCACATCGCATTCATTATTGATTACGCAGACCAAAGTCACCAGCGAGCTTGCATCGATGCAGTCAGGAGTCAAAATGCAAGTGAAGTGTGATTCTTGTACAACTTTCAAGATTGTAATCACGAATGTGTAATTGGGCGAGCGCTCATAAGGACGCCTCAATGATTCTCTGCAGCTCCTTGTCAATCTTGATGGAGGCGACAACACCTTTTTGCTTGTGACGAAGACCCAAAGCTGTCAGTCGGCTGCACGAACAAGGGTCAGAGACATG